ATTATTATATTTTTATTTCTATATTATTACAAATTTAATACGAGTTAATACCAAATTTTGATAACAGTAATGAGATTAGAATTACCTATTTAATTCTAATTATTCTATGCAAAAGTATGTAATAGAATATTAGATACATATATACAAACGTATCACATGATGTGTTTACTAATATATGCTAATAAAAAACTTGATCTGAGGTAATATCAACATATGTTACATCAGTGGAAACACCAGTCTCTTCGGACTAGAAAAATATTTACAATTATTATAAATAAAAGTATATATATAATTTTGATCGTGTGAATAGATATTATGTTTAATGATATTTAATAGTAAATCAATTTTATACCATATAATTTAATAGTATTATATCTGTGTAATCACAATTAACATGTTTGAAATATGGAACTCACTATATAATTGAAAGTCAAGATCGGTGTGAGAGAAAAACAAGTTTTAATAGAATTTATAGATTACAATTGATTATTATCAATTCTTAGTAAAGAATAAAAGATGTAAACAGTAGTAGGTGGCAGAAATATTTACATATGTATAAGAATGATACGTATTTAATGAGTTTACTATACCGATAAAAGTTGAGTTTATTTAAAAACAGGTTTCAGATAATGCGAATATTTTTTTTTTGTAATAATATATATGTACATAAACATTAATCAGTCCATCATGTATCTGCAGTTTTACTAAGCTCGTATTGTGTGGTATATTAAACGTAACATAATAAGTCACAGAAATATACGAACCCGCTTCTACTGTAAATTTTAAATAATTGATATTTACTTGTAATGCAAAGCTTCAAAATTTTTATACACAGAAACTTATATTAGAATTATTCAACTTTCTAATTGATATAAATTTTATTGAAGCGAAAAATTGTATTTTTAGAAAAATATAATTTTACATGAATAAAAAAAAATTGATCTCACAATAATATTCATACCTATACTCAAGATATAATAAAAATACAATTGTTATTTTGGTAAGTAGTACTTGATTTATCTTCTCTTGCATTTTATAATGTTTTTAATATAATTAGGCATATCTTATAAGACCAACTTTTTTTTATCAGTTACGTACAATTTTATCTTCCTTATAATAGAATGCTCTGTAGCAATAAAATATATATCACTTTAAAAAATTAATAATCATAAAAAATATTTTTCCTTTTTATAAAAATTGGAAAAAATTCCATTTTACAAATTGATATAAATTGTTTAAAATTGACAATAGTGTTACGAATATTCCTGTGATTCATTGTATTGTGTTTATTTCAAATATTTAAGGTTCTACCAATGTAACATTGTATAGTATATATACAGGATAACTAAGGTATTTCTGGTCAAACAATATTAGCGTATTTTGTGCACGAAAATAATTATGTATATTAATATATATTGAGTTTATCAAGTAACTATGGTCTTAGAAAATAAAATTGCGTGGTATTGATCTGCGCATAGCAGAGGGATAAAATCTGAAACTTATGAAACCAACCCGTCCCTCACAATGCAGATGTATATCCATTCCTATAACTAGACTTCACGTAACACGGCCATGTACGTGTATATACATTGATGTTTTATATATTCACTATCGCAGTTATAACCGACTTAGTTTGTGCGAACAAGTATCCTATTTCTATCGTTTGATAACCGGCATTCGATACAGGAATCGCGTTAACATCAATTATTGATATTTTCAATAAGTATGACAGTATAATCAGATTCTATGCATTGTTCTTCTCGTGATCATACTATTATAATAATATTTCATATTTATTTTTATCCATTTCTGTGTTGTAATCATTAATTACTGATATTTTTAATATTGAAAAAAATGGGTAATAAATTTGTATATGTCCAATGTAATCGTTCTACTGCATTTTCATTCCTGTATAATTTATATCATCGTTATATCGATTCTTCAAATTCCTACATAAATTCTTCAGAAATTTTTATTTAGATCATTTAATTGGAATTATGGATTTTTCATACATGTATCTACAAATATTTTTCATAAATATATATAATGAGATCGTCCAAAATGGGTTCTGAATGGAGAGCAACAAATTGTTCTCTACAAATCTATAAAAAACAAGATTTACNATATATAATAAATACTGATTTTTCAGATTCCTTAAGAAATTTTTTCTAAATTTATATCTAATTGATACAATTATTGGATTAAGTTCTCGTATCTTAGAATAAATGTTTGATTAATTTCTATTTGATTTATTCAGTTGCTGATATGATTCTTCATATACCTAAAAAAATGTATCATAAATGTATATATAATTGATTTAATCGTTATATTGATTTAATAAATTATTAAACAAATTTTCCATAAATTATTATGCAATTGATATAATCATTACATTGAGTTCTCATATCTCTGCGCAAATTTTTCCTAAATTTTTTATCTTGTTTATCCAGTTGCTGTATTGTTTCTTCGTAAAAAATATTGCATAAATTTCTATATAATTGATGCAATCGTAATATTCATTTTTTTTTTGTAGATTCTTAAAAGAATATTTCGTAAATTTCTATCTGCAATTACTACGCTGATTGGTAATAAAATCCTTAGAAAAATGTTTCATAAATATGTATACAATCGATGTAATTGTATCATTAATCCCAATTAAACTTTTCACTAATTTTTACTTGATTTATGCAAACTTTAAGTTGATTTTTCATATTAAAAAAAATAAAAAAATAAGATATAAACAAATATTATTAATTTTTATCACATAAATAATCTCAATCATATTGAATGAATTTCAATGCATAAGCTTTCACTTAGTTCGTGAAAGTTACACACGTATACGCATAACTCTTAACTTTCCTTAGATTAAATGGAAAAAGAATTTTTCTAGTAAAATATCATTTATCAAGTTACTACTCCCTCAACCCCGCGACCCCTTTAATAACACATAATCACCCATTACTAATCTAAGATATACCTGTATTCATCGTAAACTGGAAAACGATTACATTTGACTATTGATGAAAAGATTTTCTTATGAAAATAATCACAAATATAAATTTAATCGATAATATTTTAATAAATATTAGTGAATATAATAAATATTCATGAAACAGTTTAATTGTAAGATTGGTAATACATTGTACTTCTTTTAATACTAAAAAGCGAATAATAAACCATGACTATAATATTACTACATATAACATAATACGGTTATAAACAAATCAAATGAATTTTATTATATTTACAGGCCTGAACATAGTGATATGCAGATTGTACGTAGTTTTTCCATCTGGAAAGGTATTATTATCAATCAATCCAATCAATCATATATTAGGTCCTAATAATTGCCACTCGATATTAACACTTATTTTCCTTATTGATACAGGATGAAGGAAGGTAACGATATCGACGATCAAAAGACGGGAAACGATAACGGTGCTTACGTACACTGTTCTGAGAAAACGAGCGAAGATAACTTAAACGTTGCTTGTACAAAGGAAGTCATTAAAAATTCGCACAGTATCCATCGCGAGATACAAGGCTCGTCGGACTTTATCTGTAAGTACCTATATATTATATATCTAACTATATAATAGTACATGTTTATGTTATTTTTTCTTCCTTTTTTTTCTCTTTTTTTTTTTAACAATAAAAACTTTCAAAAAAGTTAACCGCGGAAGTGAGAAAACGTTCCTCATGAATCAGTGCAACGCGATTCACGTTGATCGTTTAAAATTAACGTTTTAGCAGTAAAACATAATTTTCATTTCCTCATGCTGCGAGGATGTCACAAAAGTAAGTATCGAAAATGTTATAGATGTATATATATAACAGGATCACGTTCGACCGAGATGACCCGGCATTGAAATCACCGTAAATTACAACAGGCACAAACCGATACATTATTTCTTTTTCTTTTAAACGTTCTTTTTTATAAATTATGATACTTAACCAATTTGAACAATTTTATCTTTCACATCTTTACACATAGGCAATTTTATTTAACTCGAGTACTTAAAATAACTTTTGTTGCTTTTAAAGATAACAGACAATTTTAATAGAGAAATTTGTTCACACACAATTTCAAATATGAAAATATCAATTCGAGTTAAATATACTGTGAATTTGTATTTAAGTAATCTTTTTTAGAGATTTCAAGGTCATCGATATTTTTTATATACAAATAACTTATGTATATAAATTCGTTTATATATAAGGATTGCATCTACTGTACTTATACTATATTTACGTATATGTATAGATATATGCTATTATACTTGTATTAAATATAATATATACAACTATATACAGGGTGTCCCAAAAGTTGCTTTACCGAATAGAAGAATTGAAAATTTTTATTTTGGTAGATATTTGAAATGAAACCATACTGTTTTTACAACGCTAATTGGAGATCCTTATATTGAAATAAAAACAAATCATATTTTAATTTTACTGATAAATCCTTTTATATTAATTTTTTGTTTCGTTTTTCTTTTCTCGGTAAAGTGACTTTTAGGACATTTTGTATATTTTTATTATTATTTATCGCAGTGATCGAAGAGCCAGGGGACAATGGCGCAAAGCGAAAGAATAATTTCTTGGACACGACGTTACGATACGCGAATCGTTGGGTCAAATTCACTTGCACTAAGAAAAAACTTTATAGAAGGTTACCGATTTTAAGTTGGTTGCCACGTTATAACAATCACGATGCACTTGGAGATCTAGTTGCCGGTATTACTGTAGGATTGACTGTTATTCCACAATCACTTGCGTACGCAAATGTAGCTGGGCTACCGACAGAGGTAAACTAAACCATTCTATCGTATAAAAATTATTTATAAATTTATGTTATTTCGTAGTATTTATAAAAGAAAAGTTGCAAAACGTGTTTTACATTAATCGTGTCAATTATTTCTCTCGATATTTTGATTTTTTTATTACTGAATATATTAACCGAGTGGCCCAACAACTATTACTAGCTCTCAGATATCTTTCTTATATTGTAATGTTTTATTTATTTTTATTTAATTTTTTTTCTTTTTATTTGAGGCAATAAAAATTATTTATTCATCCGATATACTTATAAATAATAAACAAAATATATATAAATTAATAGTTAATAAATTATATTTTAATTCGTGCGTGATAAATATTTAAAAAATTTAGATACACGTGAAGGCATTGATTTTCACAATTAATTTATATATTAACTTTTTATTTATATCAAATCAAAAATATATTGCGTCAAGCATCTTAAATTATAGACGTTTCATAATTTTTATCAACGTTTTATCAACGTTTCATAATCATTAATTAAAGTCCGAAATATTACAGTACGGATTGTATGGCAGTTTTTTGGGATGTTTCATCTACATATTCTTTGGTTCCTGTAAAGATGTACCCTTTGGCCCAACTGCTATCCTCTCTCTGTTAACTTATCAATCTGTTGCTCATTTGGATGCACCAGAAAAGCATGCGATATTATTATGCTTTCTAGTCGGTATCGTGGAATTAATAATGGGTATTTTTGGACTTGGTAAGTAATCAAATATTAATTAAATTGATTACTTATATAAATATTATTCTCAGAATTAATTTAAGTTAATAGTTGTTCAAACATAGATCCTATACTAATTTATAGTTAAATATGAAATGTCAATATGAAGATTAATATTAAAATAAATTGTTTTTTCGTTATACTGTTAAAAAAAAATGAAACTTTAAATCAATCAAATTTACGAGTTTCATAAACTTTTTAAATAAAATGTATTCGTAAAAGATGCATAACATTAAAAATATTAATACATTATTATTTATTTAGCATAGGAAGATAATATTTTTATAGACAAAAAAATTTTTTAAAAATTTAAATTTCAGTAAGCAAAATTAGTATATCTTGTTAACATGACAGAGATTAAATTAGTATTAAATTTCAATTAATATGACTACAATCATTTCCTGATTCCTGGGAGCCCCACACTATCAATGAAATATATTTATTTTTTTTCTAAAGACATTTCTTTCTGTACAATAACAGAATTATCTTTCTATATTAATAAATATATAATAATATTATTACATTATATAATAATATTATTAACACAAAAAATACGATAAAATATGAACAAAAAAATTTGTTTCACTTTTTCATTAAAATTCAAAGAAACTTGTTCCCCAAGCCAATATTTTAATAGGTCAATAAACAGTAGTTCTTGCTTAATTATGGCACACTACGTTATAGTTACTTAAAAATGACAAACTACTTTCATTTTTAGGATTTTTAATCGACTTCGTATCCGGCCCGGTTAGTTCTGGATTTACATCAGCAATAGCACTAATAATCGTTACGTCACAAATAAAAGATATCCTCGCAATATCTGCCAAAGGATCTACATTTTTACAAATGTGGAGAAGCATTGCTGAATGCTTTTACCAATCTTCGATATGGGATGCTGTACTTGGTATATGCTGCATAGTTATCCTATTAATACTCAGGGTAAGAACGACAAACTTCGAACAATTTTCTATCATGAATATTAACGATTTTATTTTTTTTTTTATTAAATTAGATGGTCTCTTCCTTCACAATCGGTCCTGACGATCAAGAACTTCGTACAAAAAAGCAAAAAGTTATAAATAAGCTTATATGGTTGACTTGTATCTCAAGGAACGCACTTCTCGTTATAGTTTGTGGTTTGTTAGGATATTGTTTTAGCGAACATGCACCATTTCAATTGATCGGTAAGATCACGAAATATTGGATTACCTATAAACTTTGTACCAAATTAATATTTCTATGAGATTTTTTTCTAAATTGGCACAAACTTTACGAGCAACCCAATATCATATAGATCAATCAATTGTAAAAGAAACTAATTAATTTTTGTTTGTTAATAAATAGGTTACATACCAGGAGGTATGCCTAATATACAGTCACCTCCATTTGGATATATAAAAGATGAAAATACTACAGTTTCGTTCATTGATATGTGTACGAATTTAGGAAGTGGAATTATCGTTCTTCCGCTTATTTCGTTGATGGAGGACGTGGCTATCTTCAAAGCATTTTGTAAGAATAAATCTTCATATTAAACAAAAATATATTCTATACTAATTCAACTGGTTGTTCAGAAAAGTATTATGTAACCAAAAAAATTGTTGCCGTTTTAATGGATAGAGGTAAATGATATACACACCTACGAATGACAAGAACTTTTTTGGTTACCGAAAATTTATATAATTAATAGTCCATTGGCTAGTATTAAGATTAAAATTTTGCTGTTTGTAATTTTAGCGCAAGGAAAGTCAGTTGATGCCACACAAGAATTGATAGCGATCGGTTTAGCGAACGTTGGTAATTCCTTTGTACAGGCTTTTCCAGGCACTGGATCTCTTAGCAGAAGTGCTGTATATCACGCTTCTGGAGTGAGAACACCAATGGGTGGTCTATATGCAGGTACATTACTTAAATACTTACCGGGTTATTCACTCATTATCAGAGTAAAAAAACTTAAATTACTTGTAAGTTGTATATAATATAAAAAAATATTTTGAACAAGTAATTAAGATGGTACATAAGTAAATCACTCTTAGGATTCATATCTATTGATAAAACTTTACGCATAGAAAATTTTAATACATGTTTTTTCTTTGATAGGAATATTAGTTATGTTGGCTCTATTTTTCCTTACCCCCTACTTCAGTTTTATACCAAGAGCTAGCTTAGCAGCAATCATCATATCCGCTGTTGTGTTCATGGTTGAAGTAAAAGTCATTAAACCGATGTGGAGAACCAAAAGTAAGAATCAAGTTATTAACAAACATAGAAATATAAATAAAATTCATTTAAGTCTACCTCAATTAGAATTATAAATAAAAGTGGTTGAATATAAACAAAGTTTATAATAACTATATCTTTTTCAGAGTCTGATCTAATCCCTGGAATAGGAACTTTTGTTGCCTGTTTGGTACTGCAACTTGAAATTGGAATTCTTTGCGGAATTGGTATGAACGTAGTGTTCATCCTATACCACGCAGCCAGACCAAAAATATCTGTTGAGAAATTAACTGTAAATATATCTTTTGTATACTGTATGAAATATATATTAATTTTTATTTACCATGATAATAAATTAAACTATTACAAATTAATAATTTAATTAAATGATAAAACTATATTGAAACATTCAAGATTATATTATACGTTCTTATAAATAATTTTATAGTGCTTTGTCATATGTATCTAAATATATATACACAAAAATGTGTGTACAAGTATTTATACATATATTCTTCATTTCAGACGCATTGCGAAATTGAATACCTGATGTTAACACCGGACCGTTGTTTAATCTTCCCTTCAGTGGATTATGTGCGAAACTTAGTAACTAAATATAGTCGTAGAACGGAGAACATAGAAACACCAGTTGTGATAGATTGTTCGCATATTTATGGAGCAGACTTTACAGCTGCTACAGTGGTAGAAAGTCTGACCAAAGATTTCGCAATTAGAGGCCAACCACTTTTCTTCTACAATCTAAAGCCTTCTGTTTATGCTGTGTTTGAGGGCATCGCGCCTACAAATTTTGTCGTTTATTATGCTCAAGAAGCATTGGACGATTTACTCAAAGAAAGAGGCTATCTTAATCACATTAAGCGAGTTTCATTATCGGCATAAGTTTTAATCTGTGTGTCTTCAAGGAACTGTGTTTATCACTTAGCAGTGTTCCATCTGACAAGGCAAAATAATGTTGATGAATCGGTTATCACAATGACATGGTACAATTAAATAAACTAAATAATTATAAATCTATGGGTAGTTAAAAGAGTCTTTCTACTGTTCATTTCTTTTCCTTCAACATATGTATGTACATGTAATTCATAAGTGTATCATGAATACAAAGCAAAACTTTGATTTTCTTAAATCTACACATTTTTCTAACCTATACACAATACACAATCATTTTTTTCGTTCTATATATATACTTAATCAATTTTAATATTTATTAATAAAAATACTTTACTTATCTTGAATAACAATTCCTGTGCATATTCATTTTACCAGACCTATAGTTTAATATGACAAATAAATAATAGTACTAAATTCCAAACAATGTACAATAGCCAATCGCTTTATTGGTTCTTTCTCGCTGCGACCACAGCGCTGCACGTCATCGTCCAATGAAACGCGTATAGCCGGAACGTGTCACGTGACCCATAACTGTTGCATTTACGAACACGAATCGCATCACGAGCCAATCCGAGTTCGCCCGAAGAGTTCAGAAACGAACGAACTCGTGCAGTAACATATTATCCGAGGAACGGGTTAAAAAAAAAAAGTGTTGGAAAGGAAAGGAGTGAAGAAAGGGTTGTGCAAGTGGTGCCATCTGATGAGAGATTAAAGAGTAGTAGGAGCGAAGCGATATGTAAAAGGTAATTCTGCTCGCCATATTTGTTATTATCGTCAATGGGGTAGGCTAGCTGGCGGAGTTTCGGAGGTGCGGTGTGCGGTGCGTAATGTTTGGATGTTCGTAAGATTAGAAAGGCTTCTAGCGGGCTAAGATATTCGGCCGTTGAGTTAACTTGCGAACAAATAATCCTGTATTCACGGTATAAGAGAAGCGGTCTCTTATATAAAACTGCTAGGTCCACGGAGGCTCAGCTGCTTATTCAGTAGTGTCGAGTGCGCGTTATTCTGTATGTGTATGCATGCCTAACTATCTATATATATATATATATATATATATATATATATATATGTAAGTATGTATGTATATATGTTTCATTTATGTATGCATGTATGTATGATAAACGTTGTGTGGATAGCACCGTGTACCTGATTTTATGCCGCTTGCATTCTTGACAGTGGAGCTGAAATTACCAGTGTGTTGTTATTGTTGTTATCGTTGACATTGACGATAATTGTGATGGTGTAGTGATAGTATTAAAAAGGTAATGCAACTATACAGATGCTAATGGTTAAAGGTGGTCTTAAGGTAATGAAGAAGGTGAAAACCGCTTCTACTCTCGCTGGTGTTTGCTGCACTTGTCATTGGTGATAGTAGTAGTAGAGTAGTGATGGTGGTGTGGTGAGATAAATGCAGCAGTAAGATTAGTAGTATAGTATAGTAGTAGCCATTGGTAGCAGCGTGATGACGATTGTGTACAGAGAAGTAGGAGGGTTTAAAAAATAGGAAAAATATCATTACCAACCATTGTCAGGGTTATTTTGGATATTGCTGAAGATAGGTTAGGGGTGGGTATGTACACATATTGGCAGAGAGGGAACGAGAAATGTGAATAAAAAATGTTTAGACAATACGTACGAGAAAAGATAGATGATTATAAATCGAGTGTGTAGAACGCTTGTGTATATCCCGTTTAGTTGTGTTGTGTGCGCGTTCGTGATATTATAAGAAGGATAAGAAGAGTAAGTGAGTGAAAGAGAGAGGGGTTGCTCTCCTGCACGGGGTCGGGGTCGTCGCACGTTCTTGACGCTTGTCTGTCGACCCGCCAAGGTCTTTGTGTTCCGTTTCTTCGGACTTCGGGGATTCGCTTCGCCAAGATATTTTTATTTTCCTTACTGCTGTCCCTTTTATTTATTCTCCTTTCCTAAGGAAAAAAAACAACTGAATAAGTAAATAAATAGCAAGCAAAACATCGCTGTTTATTTACATCTATTCTTTATTTCCTTTTTTTTGTTTTTTTTTTCGTAGACAGCTTTTTTTATAATCTTCTTTTGTTTTCCTATCGCGACGTATGCAATAAATTTGTCGTTCGTAAATCAAATCACAATTTATTTATTTATACAATGATTAACGTGTAATATTATCATATTACGCTTATAGTTCGTTCGATTTGAAATCGATCGTAAGGATTTAAATCGATTTCCGTGTGTTTCTCTTTCGAAGGAAAAAATAAAAATTGTTGAGTCCCTTACGGGACTCTGGGAACATCGAAAACAAAGAGAAAGAAAGAGCGAGAGAGAGAGAATGAGAAAACGCGCGCGGCAACCAAATAGAAAAAGAGAAAAGGAGAATGAGCGAGAGGGAAAGAGGGAGAGGGAAAGACAAGAAAAAGTCGATACGCGTATTTACAGAGAACAAGCTTGCCTGCCATTTTATATTGCACGTGAGCTCGAACTTCTGCCGCGCTTACGATTCGATCTGTCAAAACTAATCTTTCATTTTGAAAACGTTCTGGCATTTTGCTTTCTTTTTTCCGAACTGTCGAGAAGATTAACCTCTACGTCATATCTTCGTGTATTTATTATTTTACCTGGAAACCAAGTTAGGAAGATTTTATCGTAGGTAAAATTTCTTTTATTTATTTATTTATTTATTTCTCTTAAATCGTTTTAACCTGTAAAACAAAATCGTTTGAAAAATCGATACTTTTATTTCGATATATTTCGGATATATCGAGATAACTCTTTAGAATTGTCGAGATCATCTTGAATACTTGAATAATTTGTTGTATTATAAACCGTTTGATTCGTCAAGAAAATTATTGAAAGAACTGAAATTTTAACTTCAATATTCAAAATTTATAAATATCCATTCTTCGAAGTTGTTGACGTCATATTATTTTAATACTCGACTAAATTTGTATCTGCAACTCGGTTTAAAGGCTGCAAACTAAATTGTTGAATGAATCGATATTAAGCTTATATCGATTATCATTCTTTGAATTTGTGACAACATATTATTTAAATTTTTATATTATTTCATATCACCAGTCGTTTCAATCGGAAACACAAAATTGTTGGAAAAATAAAAAAAATACTTCTATTTCGATATAAATATTCATTTTTCGAGATTGTTGACGATATTTTTAAAAACTCTTGTTTATTCATATTACAAGTCATTTTATTCTAGAATATAAAATAGGAGAAAAAGTCAAAACTTTCGCTTCAATAGTCGCGATCGTTATTTGATGGTACGTCAATATTCCGTTTTCAAAATTATTCATATTGTTTTATTTAAATACTAAGCTAAATTTGTTTTACAAGTTATTAACGTATAAAAATAAATATCTACAATATCCTTTTACAAAAATATTTAAATAATTCACTATGTATAACCTATAGATATAGAATAGTAGAAATCCACGCTTTCACTTCTATATTCGCAATCGTAATTTCGTATTATATCGGTAGATATTTTTTGAAATTGTTGACGTCATTTTATCTAAAAACTTGAATTTCGTGTCAAGAGTTATTATAATCTATAACAATAAAATCGTTACAAAAATCATTTCAATTTAGAAATTTTAGATTTAACGATATCAATTCTTTGAAGTTGTGATGTTATCTTATTTAGAAACTCGAATAAATTTGTATTACAGTAATTAAGACCCAAAACATAAAATGATAGAAAAAATCGATACTTCAAATTCAATATCTGGACTATGTAACTATTCATTTTTTCGAAGTTATTATCGATATATTAAAAATTCTACTAGGTTCGTTTTATGAGTCTCTATAACTGAAAAAATAAAATTGTAAGAAAAATCGATACTTTCACTTCGTTATTTAATCTATATCTCGACTAACATAACATAAGTTTATATTTTCTAATTACCAATTCTAAAAAATTCAGGATTAGTATTTAATTAAGAATAATATTAATAAAAAAAAATTAATAATAAAAATTAATTTATTGAACATTATATTCAGGTGATGTTTTAAAAGATATAAATAAAATAGTTTCGCGAATATTATTTGCAAAAATCCACAATAAAACGTTAAAATATTTCTTTACTTGTTATTCCTTATGTATATTATGCACCATTGATATTAAAAGAAGTTTTAAAAAAATTTATAAGTAATATCATCGGGTTGCAATATTTTATAAGGAAGGAAAACATACCATAATCGATATTACCTAAATATATTTTCTAGTAGAATAATATGCTGCTGGACCAGGATTAGAACTCGAACCTTGCTTTTCAAGAGACTGCTTTGAACTACCGAGCTATTCTTTCTTTCGCTCAACCTGTTTACGAATGTGTACATGAATACTTATTTCTTAAAAATGCACGTGCTCGCACTTTTCTCTCCCCTTTTTCTTTTTCTTCTCATCTCATTTCGTTTTTTTTTGTGTATGTACATTAGGACTCCCGTATAACACCAAATATACATTCCGCATTCTATGAATGTTGTGTTAGGTCAAATTCAAAGGGCAAAAAGGCAAAAAAGGAATTTTTTTCATGTTACAGATGATTATTTTTAAATAATTTCATTGTGTTATATGGAAAGGCTATTTGTAGTGCAGTTTTTAGTTCGTGTTATATGGGGTCCTACTGTATATCGAATTTACATGTCATTTTTGGAGAATTGGTAGATTTTATTGCTTTTATTTATTATAAGAATATGCAGATCTATGGTAAATGGTAAAATTGGTTAAATCATGCAGCAACGATATATATATCCAGAAAATTTGTAACTATTACGTAATTAGTTACTTACATCGGGTCTTCGATTTAAATCTAATTAAAATTTGCACGCAGTCGTACTCGTACGTATTCTACAATACTATATGTGCATGCATGAATACATACATACATACATACATACATACATATGTTCATATATATTGGGTTGCCTGGAAAGTTTGTGCAGATTTAAAAATACAATTCAAAGGCAACACTTTTATTTCTATACGCTACCAGCCAAAATTATTTTACCACGTAGAAAAATTCCAAAATTCTTAGAATAAATAAAGAAAAATAATAAATTACCAGTTGTTTATATTCGTAGCAAAATTATAAAAATACGTCGATTTTGTTAAAAACAACTTGCGATTAAATTGTAAAAAAAAAACTAATGCCATGCTAGCTTCATCAAAATTGCTATCTTTTGTTTTTAGTATTGCCTTAAATTTTACATTGTTGGTATCCTAAATAACAACTTCTACAATCTTGTGGAAAAGTAATTTGTTTTAAGAATTAAAAACTGAATTATAGACGGGATCAAAAAAATATGTAATAATAAATATATTGAAAATGCGGTATGCATAAAATGAAGTTTATGTTGATGCCCAAAACATTCAGATTGAACGTAATTATTCATTTTCTGAAACATACTATTCATTTCTTTTACAAATAATTATTAATTATAAGAAAAATTAAATAAAATTATTCATTTAATCTAATTTCAGATCATTTTGTAAGATAGTCAAATAATTTTGACCGGTAGTCTATATATTATAGGATTCGTGATAAAAAATTGAACGGTTGGACCAGGATTCGATTCGTAGAACATTGTTTTTCAAATTGTTATATAAAGTTTTAATTTAACAAATGAACTAAACAAATATTGTCCATTAGCAAGAATTATCCTTCCTACTGTCGAATGAATATCAACAATAACAGTTTGAAAAACATCTTTTTTTTTCTTCTGTAAAAGTGTATAAGTATATATATGTGTTTGTGTCTTTTGATAAAATAGAACGAGAGAGCAAGAGAGAAACGGAACGGTTGGAAAGGAACTGAGTTTGGAATAAGAAGAATAAGAAGAATAAGAATAAGAAGCACGGGGAACGCTCGTTGGTAAGAAGTGTTAAACGTTGAGACGAAGAGGAGATTATTAAGAAAAGGCAATTTAGTGGTTTGTGGAGACTGGAGAATTGTGGATGTGAAAAGGAGCGTCGCCGGTGGCGGAAAAAGTTGGTAGAGGCTGGCGGAGAAGGTGGACGAAGACGAGGAAGAGGAGGAGGTGGAGGCGGCGGCGGTGGTGGTGGTCGGAGTTTCAGTGGTGGAGACCGAGGAAAAAAAGGTGAAAAAAAAGAAGAAGAACAGAAGGAAAAGAAGAAAGACGTGGGACAGCGGAGGAGGAGGTGGTGTTAGTGGTGACGACTGTGGTGATTGTTTTAAGGGTTCGTATCGGAAGCGCGCTCGTAGTATCGCGTGTGCCGATTCGTACCAGAATTAAAACTGGCGGGCAATCTGGCTCGATCTCCGGTGCCGGTGGGTGCTGGGGGAGGTGGTGTTGGTGGTAGTAGTAGTAGTGGTAGTAGTGGAAGAGGTGCTGAAAGAGCAGAAGAGGAAGGAGGAAGTGGCGGAGGTTCTGGGGGTGGAGCCGGTGGAGGCTTCACTGGACGAAGTGGTACCGGACCCGGAACTGGAAATATCATTCCTAGAGGAGGATCAACAACAACAACAACAACAGGAGAAAACACTTCCGGAAATGGAATTCAGGCAAATGCGAGTCAAGCGAGCGGAGGTAATGCCAGCGGCGGCGGAGGAGCTATGGCAAATGGAAATGCTTCCGCGGTTCCATCCACGGGAAATCCTACGGGTCCATCAACAACTAATGTTCCCGCGGGAAATTCTACGGGTCAATCAACGACGGCTAATACTACCACGACTACTTCGTCAGGAACTGCTGGAGCAGTCGATCAAGGTGCATCTAGCGGACAAATTTTGGACTGGGAGGATGTTGATCGTTTCTCCTTCGAGGATTCCGATCATTTCGAAGAAGATTCCCTTTGTAGTTGGAGCAGTGAGCCCGAATCACTTTGTAACAATTGGCGAGGATGGCGTCGACCCACGGCTGGATTTACTACCATTAAAAAGTCGTCAGAAGGTGAGTTATTTTTTACATTTCTTTCTCAATTCATCAATTATATTGGCATATACAGGGATGAAGGAATCATGAATGTGATCAATGAAACCTTCAGTTTCTATTAATTAATTATAAGACCGAATTGGAAATGAACCGATTGAATGAAGAAGAGAATCGGAAATATGGAAAAATCGAAGTCTTGATAAAGGATAGTGGTATCCAGTAAGGAAGACAGGATGGTTGAGGTCGAGCTTATGGGTCGATGCTGCGCCCAGTTGTTCGATTCTTGTAAGAACGAAAGGCACTGGTGTATGCATGTGCGCGCATTTACAGGGGCACATTGGTATTCGTTTAAATTCTACATGTAAACTGAGAAATTTAGAGGAACCTCTCTATACCTTTAAATTACGATATCTCTTCCATCGAAACTTCGTCGGCTAGCAAGCTAGCTAGCTAGCAAGTAAGTTGGTCGTTTGCCTGTTCATGCTACTAAATACGTCTAGGCTAATGAGAAGCTTCCGAAAGTTGTGGTTTCTCCAAAGCACCTTATTACGTATCGCAGTATTAAGCCCTTCAATATCGAGTCGTAAATTTAATTAACTTAAATGATCATTAACACTGAGACGTTACGTATATTGAACAATCTCATTCCCGAATCCATGAATTATCGTTCTAATCTCCATTTATTTTACTTAAAAGAGAGAGCTTTTTTACCAAAGAAAATATACCTTCTCTTATTTTTATTACAATTTCTTAGAAAAGGGTTGAATTATTTAGGATTTAATCGTAGATTTTTGATTTTATTTTATTCTTTTTATTTGTTTATTTATCAAAATTTATTTATTACTGTTGTATAAGCTCAAAAAATGACTATTTTCAAAAGCTTAACAATAAGCTTTGTTTTAACTATTTTTTTTTTTTAATATTTAGGAAAATGACAGAGTGAAAAGAATTAAAACCCTATTGACTAAAGTTGAATTAATGAAATTTGGGTTTTAATTAGTTATTCAGAAAAATAGTAGTGTGAAGAGAAAACATTGATTGGTTTGACACGGTGAAAGAAGAATATACAATTTGATTGATGTTTAAAAGCGTTAGTTCGTAGATTGATTGTAAAATAGGACTACCAACGTCACTAATAGCGTGGTAACGCTGCTGTATCTTACAGTCACGCACGTCTATCTGTCAATAATAGAAATTAATTTCTAATTATCTTATTAACGTCATCGATCTCGTTTCTATGGCGTTGAGCACCATGGAGCTTGATCGTCATCTTATATATGACTACCAAACTTTTATTATTTTTCAGATTTTCGTTTAATTGAAAAAAAATGGTAAAATTGAGCTGTTCGTTCTTTCAAACTAATCGCTTATTCGCCAATACCATTGTTTACATATCAAACAATTTCTAAATTTAATAAAGCAATAAGAAAACTGTAATTTAAATTAGCAAAAATTAAATATTATAACGTAATGAAAGTATACAATGAGATGAGTCAAAGAATAGTGAACGGGAGAAAGTAACTTGAGTAGAAGCTGTGTGTCCCTTGAAATGAAGGTTAGTGACCCTTTCTCTCTGGGTAATTGCGCCACAGGGTAAGATAATGGGTGGGTAGGCAGGTAAGTTGCTAGATATCGCTATCTGACCCATGTACTTCCCAGAAAATGCACATAAACGTTCTCGTGCCAAGGACGAAAGTGCATTTACGTGTATATACAATAGTTGTCCATAGTCATGTTAAGTTTAAATGTAGCTTGGTGACTTCATTCGAATAGAATAGAAAAGTAATGCTCTTCCTAGCCTCTCTCTCTTCTTTTCCTTTTGTTTTTCCCCTTAATTTTCTTATATCCTCTGATTCAACAAATGCAAGCTGAATAATAAAGATTAGCATCAAGATTAGCGTTGATGAATAATCGTTATATTAAACTAACAATGACGTTTTATTTTTATTATGGATATATATAGATATCTTAAAAATATTTTTTCACGAACGAACATTATTTTATAGAAAATGAATAAAGATTTCCTCTCAACTTTCTATCCTTTTCTTTTTTTTCTTTTTTTTTTTTTTCTTCTTAGTGACTACGCTACCACGTAATAAAGAATAAATTTACTTTATTTATTAACTTGTATTTCAGGATATTTATTTAAAATCTAGGCATTATCTCAAATGAAAATTCTTATGTAGAAATTGCATGTTGGGAAGAATTTACATGTACATAGATATTATAGTTGATAAAGTGCTGGTGTGACGTCGTTATACTGGCTTTCAACGAAACACATAGAAAGCGTTCATGACGTTGGTAATTAAAAGCAAGCGACATATTTATATAAATATGTATATATATGTATAGGTTAGACCGTAACGACTTTGCCAAGTTGCTACATCGTTTTTCAACTCGCATAATATTATACGCGCTGGCCATGGTTCTTTTGATGTCATAGTTTTTTCCCGAAATGGTCTGATCCAGAGATACCAGCAGGCGCTTTATGACTCACATGCGAAAACTTAATACCATACAATACCAATTTTTCTGATTCTGTAAGAACAGCAAGGTTAATACGACTGTAGAATCTTTTTTTCTTACTTTTATTCGTATAATAATTGCAATATTATCATAATTATATGTTCTCACGTTTATAAATGTAGTTTTTTAAATTTAATTAAAAATTAAATTATTTACATCTGTTAATAAATTAATCTTTAACACTTCAGCCTATGAAACTTGCTTTCAAGGACTAATTATCATTTTCGTTTTATTTATTTTTTTTTTTTTTTTTTTTTTTTAAAAAAAAAAAAAAGAAAACAAAAAGAGGAATTTTTAGCTACAACCAATAACTTATAACTATCATGGAATAGTTAAATGAATAATTAAAAAGGAAAGTGAATCATATTCTGAAAGAACAAATATCTTACGAATAGAGAACACTACATTAAAATTCTCGAGAGTGATTAATATGTATTCCGCAAAAGCGGAAGTAAAAGTTCCTGACAAAGATAGAAAGTGATAACGGCAATTTGAAGAAATCATGGGAGAAGAAAAAAGAAGGAGTAATGGAGGAAGAGTGCAAAAGAAACAATTTCGAAGCACGTACTTTTTATTTAATTTTTACATATCCACCGACTGCATCGTAGAGAAAATTTAAATGAATTATAATAAAAAATCTTTATCATATATATTTGCCGTAATTAAACTTTGATTATCTCGACGAGATCATTAGAAAATTAATCTTTGGTCAAATATATATATATATATATATATAAATTCAACGATAATTAAAAACGTTCTGACGTTCTTTGCCACGTGTACTGTTTACAGTACATGTTGAAACTCATTATTTCTACGTTAATTTAATGGACCATATGGTTAACCTAAAGTCAATCATATTATAATATCCAAATATTTGTGATTTCTGAATGAGCAGGTCATCAAACATATAAATCCAAACATTACAGTGAAATTCGGGTTGTAAGTTTCTTTATCGGATGGAATATGAATGATTGAAGAATCTATACATGACTACCATGAAAATTAAATATACCCTGTTTTGTAAAAATCGTTTCTTTTGTCTATTCTTGATGTGAAAAAATTGATCCTTTCCATGTAGAATATATTCACGCAGTTATACTGGCCAGTAAACCTTTATACACTACAATGTGTGATTTTAAAGTTACATAGCATTCTAAAGAATTGCATTCAATATTTTTTTCTTGAAATAATACGTTTTCACTTAGGTATTGTATACGATTCCATCATACGAAACGAGTTATTTTTTCAACGTTATAGAATATATAACATATGGTAAAGAAAACACATAATGGTGAAAGTGTAACATATGGCTTTGTGAATAAGTGTTAAAAATATAATATATAATTTTCTGTTACGTTGTTTTTCTCTTTTTATTACATTACTTTTCTTTTTAACGTATCTTCTGTGAACGAGTATAATTATTTTAATAACTCTATTTTTGCAAGGGTAATTTTTTTCTTTTCTTTATGTAAAAACAACAAATTATAAAAATGAATTTAGCGTCGACCAGAAACCCAATCCGGATATTTTCCATGGCTGACGAGTATTTTATTTCTGAATCATTAATGCTGTGTTTAGAAAAATAGTAGTATAAAAATATTTATTACTATTATAAACATTTATATAATTTAAAATTTGTAAAGATTCCTTGATACTTTTCGTTTTGTTTCTTTCGAAGATTTAAAAAAATATTCAAAGATGTTTCAGTTTGGCGAGCACAATCATTCGTAAGAAATTAAAAATAGAAAGAATCTGTGAGGACAAACAGCTAGTCTGAAGCAGTTAACGTTAGTCTGTTTCGCCGTTTCTTTCTCTTTGTTGCATCGGAACCACAAAAGTGCAACGTCCGACCTTGAACCATAGTCATCGCATGAAGTTAACGCTCGATTCTTTTTATCTCTTTTCCTTTACGCGTTAAAACGCGATCGTGCTGGGATTATGTTTGCTAATCAACGAATCGACGAGATTAGGCTTATAGAATAAATACAGTTTCGATTTTTAACAACTTTTTTTTTTCTTACTCGACGATTCGGTTCGCAATAATTTTGCAAATTTTTTCCACTACTTTTCTTTTTTTAACCATAGTAAAAAATATAGATTTTAATTAGCATCATTGTTAAATTCGTTAATTGAGATTTTACCTGTTATGTTTCGGGTTTACAAAATGATATCAATTCAGAAATAAGAGACAATAGTCAATGTTTAACGTAACTTCTTTATGTATTATATTAATATTATAAACAAGCTCCATCTTATGAAACTATTACGTCGTGGTAGAACAAATTTACAATAAATGAAAGTTATTGAAATAGGGAATTTGGTGTAGGATTTCTGAAAGTTAGAGAAGAAATCTTAGAGCTTACTTTGTTAATCATGCAACCCCAACGGAAAGCATATCGAGTCTTGCTAACTTCGTTAATTAAAACTTGAACTTTTTTTCTACTTTCTTTCTTTTTTTTTCTGTAAAATTAATTATCTTCTAACGTCGATAAATAATAACATTATTAATGTTTATGATGTTTTTCCAATTATATTTTGTGAACGCCCACTGTATTCGAACAAAGTCAATTTTGTTAGACTTATTGATTTCCTATCTTTTTTCGTTGTTTTTTTTCTCTCCGGTAACAAACGAATTAAACGAATTCTCGTCGATGACGTTGCAATTGAGTATAAAGAAAAAAGAATGACGATGCATTACGCATGACGATGATTCGAATATTCCGTTCATCGTACTGATGACAAATCACTTCGACTTCGTGTTAAATGCATCCTCTTGTAGTCATACTTTTTTTTCCTTCACATACATATTTAAACATTAGCAGGTGCTTGTTCTCATGCAGCTTGGCTTATAATATACTTCGATTAAGCAAAAATATATTTGTAGTAAATATTTTATCATAAAAAAGAATGTTTAATACTACATTTCATTAGTTTTAGGCGATACACACTGAAGAGGAAAATTAAACCAATGATCAAAAGTTTTTTATATAAATTTTTATTTAATATCACGAGTAAAGTAAGATCCATTATCAATTTTAAACAATAATTCAATTCTTAATTGTATGATATTTAGTTTAATTGAAAACTATTATTTATTATACGTACAGATGTTCTCTAATATAATAACATTTGATTATGTAAGCTTGACCAAAATAAAACAATACACCCTTAACGTTCTTATACTCGTTGGCCATGTGTTACTCTTTACAATGCCAATATTCTTTCACGCAACAAGTTAATACAAAAGCATTGAAACTATATGGCTACCAACTCGAAATATTTTACGTTGCCAAATTCCCAACTAATCTTTTATTTCTTTTTCTTTTCTTTTTTCAATATCCAATCATTAAAATAAACATATCGATAATATTTTATATGGTTTAAGCTAACGTGAATAATTTTCTTCAATTTGATTTTAATTTATTTCTAACACACAGAAAATTTAACAGAAATTTAACTCATAAAATTTAACAGAATTTAAACTTTTGAAAATTATTTAGAATGACAAAATTTTTAATATGAACGTATTATATATTTAAATATTAAACTATGTTGATTTTTAATATGCCAATTGGATCGTGAAAATGTTTGATGATATAATTATCTTTGTCAAACAAAGGACTTTGTTCTTTATGTGCATTATATACGGCAATATTTTGAAGTTGCAGTAAAATATTGATACAGGATATATAATGATATCTTATTTTTAATACTTACCCTATAAATAACAGCCATAAATATATCTTGTTGTATCTTATAAGGGAAGGTCCCCCAGGTGTTCTACCATTTTCAATTCAGAACCCATACACGAATGATACAGGTGATACCAATAATATATTCTCAAAGTTACAGCCCCTATCTTTGCGTTTAAAAGAATGCCGGTGTGTGTGTGGACTGAACATATTTTTAATTAAATAAAAAGGCTTTGAACGAACGAAATGACTCGTAAAAATAATGAAACAAACTTTAATGTAATTTTTATACAAGATAGCTTTAAAGTGTTTAATCAATTTTTCGATGAATATACAAATAACACACTTTTATATATTCTTCATACTTTAACGTAAAAATATTATAACTGTGTAAAAAGTATAATACATAATATATCTATGTGTATATATGGAATTGTTAATAACAATTTTATCTCTTTCTTTTTCTTTTCTATTTTTCTATTGATAATTTGTTTTAAAAATTTGTTTCTTTTAATCATAATAAAAATTTACTTAAAATGCAATCGATGTTTCAATATATATTTTTATTTTTGTCTTGATCGTTATAAAAATAGCATAGAAAATTTGTTTGAATTAACTGTAACGAATAGATAAATTCACCACCACCGTTAAATAAAGCGAGAATGAAGAAGAAGCAATATCGTAAGGATTCGACCGTACGTTTCTGTGTGAGGTTCACGGCCATTTCCTTTCAGGGACCATGGATCGATGCTGCAACGAGTTTCAGGAAGACGACTATACTACTCGAGAACGTGCTCGTGATCATCCTTCACCGTGACTCATTCTTCCTTTCGTAGAAAGGAAAAAGAACCTTACAATTAATATGTCATAAAACACATACACACACATAAAAAATCTAAATATATATATATACACATATTTTTATACATAGTTTTTTCATTCGTATTTTGTATTACAACGAATAGAAATTTTCAATTGCAATGGTATTATTAAATTTTTTCCTAATGTCGAAAAGTTCGTAGTTTGAAATGAATCGGAAAGTAGATTTCTGATAACAAATGTCGGCAAAAAGTCTTTTTTTTTTCATATAATGGCAAATAAAAATAAGAGTGAAAAAGCAGCCGGCTGGCTGCGGGACAGTTTGCGTAAAGGAAAAAAAGAAAGAAAAAAAAAAGAAACTTGAGGATCGGTTCGACGAGTAAGAGGGGCCAGGTGCATTGACTCTACTCGTTCCATGGCAAACCGGATATCGGACTCGACTGCTACCTGCCCTGCCCTACCCCCTCGCACTTTTCTAAAGATTCGTCTCCGTCCGAAGTAACTGCTACGGATTATGGACCGACATTTCTCTATGTGTAAATGTATGCTTATCTATGTGTGTGTGTGTATGTCTTCGCGTGTCGCTTGCGCTTCGATGCCTTTGGGAGGATCCTTTGTTCGCAAAAGCTTAATACGATAGTTCGAAAAACCAGGTAGATTTTCTATCGGTAATCCTGTAAATACCCGATTTACTTCTTGACTTTTTATTTGTGATATTGTTTTCTTCTCGTTATTTTTGTAAATTGTAAAGAGAATGATTATTTAATTAATTATCTTTTCTAAACTATGTCTCTTCTCCTTTTACAGTATACGTAAACTAATTTTATGGGTATTTAATCACTTGTCTACGAAATTTTCTCACGTATAAACCACTTTTCCAAAGATATCGTCATCTTACCGCTTCTCAACTTGATTCAACAAGATATTATAAAAAAATGTTTGTTAACAAACCATCAGAGGAATACGTTCGATTTAATTTTCTTTTTTCCCCGTAAATTAAAATTAATTGAACGTTAATTATAATGTGATTTGATTTATAAAAACATATCCGTTCTTCTTCGATAGGATGATGCACGATTAAATATCGTTCAAAGTAATATCATGTTTGAAATAATCACCCTCTCGACGATTCAATCTCAATTTATCATTGAAGCCTTGATATTCAGAATATCATTTATGATTTCACATTGTTAAAAAGTATTGATCATTGGTATCGGAATATTCTCATTTCCATTTCTAACTATAGAATCGATATCACCGATTGATTCATTCATTATTATTTTAATTCACTTGTTATAAATATTGTTTTTAAATGTTAAACTCATCAAACATGTAATAAAGTTATACTAATGTTTTTATTTCTAAATTATCTTCGTCCTAAACACAATATATCTATAGTTTTTATGCAAAAATCTAGTAAGCATAACGATGTATTATTTTAAGGAAGAAACTCATTTATTTATTTGATTTATATTTTTAACAAATACAGTTTGTTCCAAAATTATTACGAACTTATCACGCGAATATTTCCAAACGTTCAATACAAATACACAAACTACTTATTATATATTTTTTTATTCGGTAATAAAGTTCTTCGCGTTTTCTATGTCTTAGAAAAAAATAAAGTAATAACCCTGATCGATCTTTTCGACAAGTTAGTACACTTATATGTTTATTAATTATTTGTTGAACCCAAAAAAAAAAAGAAAAAGAAAGAAAAAAAAGAAAACGTTATGATGGAGGAGTAGCTTCCACATGCAATTACGAGTTTTGCGTTTCCAAAGGAAGAGATCGCAAGTGGAGAATGGGAATAGGGAATAGGGAATAGTTCTCTTTTGCTGCCGAGATGGCCGTCTGCCGTTGTCGAGAATGAACAACAATTTCGCTAGGCGCACTGAAGTCCGCTGGCTTTCTATGAATAAGTGATTTTCCTTTGTGCACGAACACGAAAAGTCTGGAACGCGAGCCACAGTTGCGTCAATTCTCACGGCTACCTTCTCTTTCACCTACTCTTTACCACCACCACCACCACCCTCTCCTTCCCCAACCCCATTACCACTACCTCCACTACTTACCCTTACCATCTCTTCACTTCACCGTTACTTCATTCGCTACTCGCCATTTGTGTTCATCATCATGTTTAATCCTGAATCCTGATGAAATATAAGATGGCGTCGATATTGTGTCGTCCTCATTTTGTCGGAGATTTCAGAGATTTCTCATTGATAAATGATTAACGAGAATTTCGTTACTCTCGTTTTATGATTAACACCTGAACACATGACAATAATTTATATATATATATGAGCCGTTTATTTTGAAAGTGGCATAAGTCACTTTTTCAAAAAAATCGAGTTAATGGCAACACTAATTACAATTGAACGGTATCTTTTTATTTTCAATAAAAAAAAAAAAAAGGGACTTATGCCACTTTCAAAATAAACGGCTCATATATTTATTTATTTCTATCATAAATTTATCGTACACCATTATTATTTCACAAAATTTGTTATAATAATAGATTAACTTTAACGTTACATAATGTATTTGTGGGGTAGATATTAAAAAAAAAAAAATAAATAAGAATTGATTATAAAGAAAGAAAAAAAAAAAGAACAATTTAATCTGTACGTTAAGGTATAAATTTTAATAGCATTACGAAAGATTTTCCTCATCAAATTTCTATCGATTGTTATTATAATTACGTTCGCGATTGCATCCTGCAATGAGAAATAATAAGTCTTTTTTTTTTTTAAATGAAACAAAATTTCTTTATTGAAACTTTAATTGGATACTTTTCTTTCATACAAAAAAGGATTATTATTCTTTTTTCTTATATT